CATTTAAAAATTTTACTGAGTCATGTAATAAAACTAGTAAAACAAAATTTGAGTTAACTTTTAAATTATTATATCAAATAATATACTGATTATCTTTTCCTTTAGGTTTAAAAATCTTATTTCATTAAACCTTCTACATCTGAAGTGGTTTGAGGTCTTCCTCATCTGGGGTGGGAGAAGGCTATTCTCTGCGGAATGTATCTGCAAATATTCTTAAAGAACAGTAAAAATAACCAAAATGTATTTGCCATTTACTGTGTGTCGGGGTAAGTTCAAAGTGTTTTACATGTATTTACACATTTAATGAGATGTGTAGTGTTATTGTATCTTTATTTTACACATGAGCCTGTAACATAATAGGTGTGTTTGCCCAAGGCAAAGTAAAATAAGTCTGTTACCTCCTTTTGTTAGATATTAGACTCCTGTCCTTGCTGCCTAAGAACATACAACACTTTGAGTAAGGAAAGCACTTACCTCAGTCGTGCTAATTAACACCAAATTAATGCATTTTTAGCTTTGAGTAAACTGAACCTTTGTCTTTGCATATATGCTATTGCATTTCTTATATGCCATATTTGTAATTATGTTTTGGGAATTAAATGTTAAGAGGTCATTCTTTTATACCAGTTAACTTTAGCCTCTCCTTCTCATTTGTCCAGATCCTGATTCTGTCATGTAACGTATTTGCTGGTTTTTTACCTAGCTTTGAGTTGCTTATAGATTGGATAAATACAACTTCCAGGTCTTCAAATTCCTAACAAAAATTTAGAATCATTCAGGAATTAGAAACCCAACAATGCATTAAATAAACCTCTTTCTGGATTGGTCCTCTTGTATCTAATATATTTAGTTGTATTAGAGTGTACTTCTGTCTTGCCTGCAAAAATCTCATGCTATATACAACATTGATAATAATTTTTAGTACTCCGTATCTTACCCATTAATTTACTTTTGCTTATATTTGGTTTTTCTAATAATTGATTTTTTTTGTTGTTGCATCTGGATAACTTTCATATAACTTTTTCTTGATCTGTAAAGTGACTTTATGAAAGAAGGAATTGAAATTGTATTATTAACCAACCTGTCTCTTTATGAGTTCCACTACTAGGATATCATAATCATCCTTTTGTCTTTTTCGAAGGCTCTACCCATTCACAGTAAAGATTATAGGTCAGTAAGAATCTACCTTATTGTTCTTTTTGAAAACTGTAACCATTTTTGTCCAACTCCAATCTTCAGCTCTGTGTGTGTGTGTGTGTGTGTGTGTGTGTGTGTGTGTGTGTTGGTAATACCTCAAAGACTACCAACAGTGGTTTTTCAGAAACAGCATTTTTTTCTAGGATAAATTCTGTATGCAAGCCAAGGGACCTACATGTGCTTTCTTTAAAATTTCTCTCTTCTTGGGCCTCAGCTTCCACTTAACAACATTTTTTCTTAGACTTTTCAAATAAAAGATAAAATTCTTTTAGAGAACAAAGAGAAGCAGAATAGATGTTCTGCTTTCTGTTGTATATCAATCCCAAATAGTGTGTATCTCACTTGATTGTCATGCTGTAGCTAACAAGTGAAAAACAAAACTTTTTTATTGTCCTTAGTATGTTTGTCAATCAGCCAGTTAGATGAATGGAAGAGTAGGTAAAGAAGAAAATTATTGTAGAAGGAGCTATAAATAATCTAAAAATAGACAACAACCTGCTGTATAATTTGTGGGTAATTGGTAATTCAAATAGGTCCACTTTGGGAAAGTGGCTCATTTGCATTTGGTGCTTTTGTCTGGACTTTCTTTTCTTTACAGTGAGGGAATTGAGCATGATTAATAATCATGTGCTTATCAAAGCTCTGTGGCTTGCAAAGTAATAGAAAACTGAACCCCTGAAGGGCATTTATTGACAGATTACGGAAAAGATCAGTGATAGAACAAACTTTAGTCATTGATTGACCCAGGAGCTCAAATAATGTTCAGGGTTGACAGGAACATGCTCACTCGGTCTCTCCCTCTCTACTCCACATATTCTCTGTTGGATCCATTTTCAAAGGCTTTCCCCTGGTGGTACCATATGACCACAGTAGCTTTTCATGTGTATATCAGATTTAAGTTCAGTTAGAAGAAACAAGTGTCTGCCCAGAGTCACAGCAGAAGTCTTGTTACCACCCATTGGCTCTTGTTGGGTCACTTGCATATTCCAGAACTGATGATCAGCATGGTCAGTAGGGATGTCTGGGAATGGGGGTGGAACTCTGCTTCCTCTCTGTTGAGAGCTGGGGAAGCACAGATTCCTAAATGAAAAGTGAGGCTGTTGCTGAAAGACAGGGAAAGGGATGCTGAGGTGGCAATTAGCAAATACAACAGTGCTTCTTCGGTTCTGATTTATTGTGTAAATTGGTACATTTGCTGTTATTTCACTATTTTGTGACCTACAAAAACTTCCATTCTGACCTATTAAATGTGAAGACATAAAGTGGAGGCTGTATAGTGGATATAGGTTCCAGTACTAGCTGTATTATGTATCCCTATTGTTGAGAAATTTAAAGGCATTCAATGAATAACATTCTTCTCTCCTATTTGAATTCTGTGAAGAGAAAAGACAGATTGGCGCATAGGAAAAAAAAAATCAGTTTTATTACTGATAAAAGCTAGGCTGGATGACTTGGTTTTTGTGTGACAACAACGAGGCTCTAGTATTGAACCCAGAACTAAGCAATTATTTACCTCTACTCCAGTAGGCTTTTAAACCTTGGGATCTGCCCCTAAAAATTCAAACTAGAATACATGAGTCCTACAGTTATCTGGTTCTTCAAAGAAGGCAGAGGTGAAGAAGCTACATATGTCTGGTTTCTCTAGGAAACTCTGTCAGGCATGTCATTTTACATCCATGGTGATTGATGGAGTAGCAGGCCAGGAGTTGTTGAGAAAAATTCCTCTTTGTGGAAACCAGAGGACAGATGAGCAAACATGCCCTCAGCACACAGACTTAATTATTTTATCTGTTAAATAATAATCTATTTTAAGGTTAGTGTGATGTTCAGGCCAACAAACTTTGTATATGGAAACCTAAGGAGATTATCAAATAACCACCCTCTCCAGGTTTTGAAGCTGGGTTATTATAATAATTGATGTGTGCGTAGGAGGGAACCCACTTTGCCTAGGAGATGAGTAAAATTGGTAATAAATAGACAAGCATAAGGATTTGTGTAGTGGGAGGAAGCAGGCAATGGAAGAAAATGTCTTGCAGAATCCATAACTATCACATCTTTGCAGATTTAACCTAAGGCAAACAAACTTTTCTCACCTAGCCATCCTCAACTCACTGGTATGAATTCTAAGTTTTTAGCCTATTCTCTAGTTCAGTAGTTCTCACAAGTGTGCTCCCTAGACAGTACAGCATCAGCATCACCCAAAAAATTATTAGAAATGCAAATTGTTGGGCTCCGCCTTAATTTACCTCAATCTAAAGGTGCTGGAGGTGGGGCCCAGCAATCTAACCATTTCTCCAGGTGATTCTGATGTATGCTAAAGTATGAGGACTATATACCATGATTTACAGACATCTTTATAACAGTTTCGTAGCTGAAGATTTATTGCATTTGCCAGTATCTTTTCTAATAATCAACATTCTAAAAATATTTTGGAGTGTAGGTAGATTGCTTGAGGTGGGAAGAAGCTGAATCTGTAAAATGTAGCCATATAGTCATGAGCAGTGGGACTACATTTTCATCTTGGAGGTTTAGATTTAATGACATGATGCCTTTTTAAAAACTAAATGTAGCAGTAAAACGCTCAAGGTATTGTTATGTTTGAGATATTGGAAAGAAGAAGAACCAGGGGGTAGTGATTATAATTTGCATAGAGGGACTTGAACAAGATCAGGAAGAAAAGGGGTTATATACAGAAGAGACTTCTCAAGGGTAGAATTAACTTAGTAACTGACTGAAGCTGGAGAGGATGGAATCAAAGATGATTTACGATTCCTAGCCAAGGCGATAAGGATAATGGTGGTGGCAGAGCTTTTAATTAGTGAGTGAGATGAGTCCGTTGTTGGGCCTGTTAACGTTGAGGTGATTGTATGGAGAAGAGAGCTTATCTTTAGGCAGATTAGAATAATAGGAGGACTTGAAAGTACAGTGAAGAAATAAAAGTAATGCGTGTATTAATTCCTCAAACTTTCACTGAGTGTCTTCTGTGTGCCTGGTACTCAAGATGTAGTAATGGACAGACTTTGCCCTCAGAACTAATACTGTAGATGGGGAGAAAAAAAATAGCATATAAACAAATGAACAAGATAAATTCAGGTAATAACAACAGTGGGCAAGGAAAATAAAAGAGCAGAGAATTTCTTTAGATAGGGAGTCACAGGAAGACCTGGGGTAGTGACATGTGACAGATCATATATAGTTTTTGACAGTCAAAAAATGGTAGAATCACAGAGTTGCCAATGAGAATTGCAGGAAATAATATTAAAGTATCTGTTATACTTTTTGTCCTTTCAGGGTATATTTCTTATGAAAGACTTGGAGAGAGAGAGATCCAAGTATAATATTAAAAGAAACGGGCTTGGAGACAGTCCACCTCAGACATTTCAGCCATTTGTTAGCTGGGCAGAAACTCAGTTTCTTGAAGCCTGCCCTTCTCAGTAGAAGAAGGAATAACACCTTATGGGATTAAATTGTGATGATTAAGTGAGAGAATGAAATTAAAACAACTAGCATAGTGCTTGGAACAATAACAGTAATGCTGAGTGGATCATAAAATTCAGTCATGTGAAGTGCAATTTCATTTAATAATGATGCAATCTAACGTCTTTTGATATACAATTTTATTTAAAGGTTGTACTTTGATCTTTTATCATGCAAAATGCTTTAAAAGCACAAGACTGCAGTTCAACAATATTTTTATTACTAAATAATGTACTTTAGTTACCTGACGACATTTAGAAAATATGCTTATGTGCATAATACTCTAAGATAGATTTTATTAACTTTTAAATGTTTTCTTCTTACAGGTGTGTACATCTCATGATTGATATGGAGAAACTAGCCATGGGCCAAAGGTCAAGATACTTCACTGGGAAATGCTGCTGCTGATGCTGCTTTACAAAATCATACAATGAGTGTTTGGTTTATGAAAGATTTTCATATTTAAAAGATTTTCATCTTGGAAATACATCAAGTGAAAAATTCTTTTGGGAAACATTTTCCTTCTGATATATTATACTTGTAATGGGTGACATGGCAAACAACTCGGTTGCTTACAGTGGTGTGAAAAACTCTTTGAAGGAAGCTAATCATGATGGAGACTTTGGAATTACGCTCGCAGAGCTGCGGGCTCTTATGGAGCTCAGGTCCACAGATGCATTACGAAAAATACAGGAAAGCTATGGAGATGTCTATGGAATTTGTACCAAGTTGAAAACATCTCCCAATGAAGGTAAGTTTTATTATGTTTGATTTTGGTTCTTTGTGCAAAGAGTGCTATATATTTGGATAATAAAAGCTTGCTTATATTATCTTGGTGATTGTATGATCATGGCATAATTATAGTGACATTAAAAATGGGTTAGTTATAAGATTAGTACAATTAAAGTATTTTTATATTAACACAAATGTTGCAAATTAATGTATATGTTTTAGATGGGACACATGAAATATTTTGTTCTATTACATGTATTATTGCTGCCTGTTTATGATAAAAAGATTGTCTTCCCTTTAAACTATAGAGGATGGAATCAGGCTTAGATGCCTCCCAGATATTCCGGTGAAAAAAAAATATCAGAGCACTATCCTTCGTTTTTCTGGGTGGCTTAAAATAGTTATCACTGTCATTAGCTGACTGAGTTGGTTTTAGCCTATGGGGCTTAACCTAACCTCTAATAATTAGTTTAGGAGGTCCTAAGGCAAATGAAATAGATGAGATGGAAGTTAGTTTTTTACCTTACAGACATTGCTTTAATTAAAAATAGCTTTCAGTCTTTGAATTGTGTTGACTGTCTCTGTGTTCACAGAAGCTTTTGGTTTCATACATTTTTATTTGTGGTAAGTTTCATTTTGAGAATCAAAAAGGAAAATTCATCATAACTTTTTGGCATTATGGTCTTTGAAATGATTTCAGAAGATTGCCTTTTATAAGTTAATCATATTGAACATAAAATAAAGGTTAGGACATTTCAGGAAAGCATTTCCAAATTGTAAAGGCACACTGGGGAGGGACACATGAGGATGAATGGGGATTACAATTTATTTTGTGAAGGATAGGAAATTATTAATGTAAAATTTTAGAATATATTACCATATATTCCAAAGCCAATTCTAGAGAAATTGTGCAAAAGTATTTTTCTTAATATTTTTTCTGAAACATCTTATGCCATGCTATTGCTTAGATAATATTTAATGTAATAGCAAAAAGTCTTTTCTAAAACTAAGTAACTTTAAATTATATTAAAAAATTCTTTAAAACCTTTGTAACCTATGTAATTCATTGTGAATTGTTAATTATTTTAATGATAGGTAGTTACTTTGATTTCTCTGAAGCAGAATGGTCTTGAGGGAGCCAGAGTCAGTATTCACACATGTCCCAGCAGGGCTTCTTCAAACTATTTGGAATATGTTCTTTTCCTGCAAGACCTGTTAACTCTTCAAGATTTTTTTTGGATCTTTTCAAGTTGGAACCACTAGAAACATCAGCTTCTTAGTTATACGTTAGGTATGCTATACCATTTTGATGTAGTTGGGATTAATTACTACTCCAAGATTGATCCCAACATTTAATACATTAAAATGGTATTGCATATCTAAGGTATAACTAAGAGTATCAGGAACAGTTCCCATGGACTTTTATAGACCGTAATTTGACAAAATTTGGAGCTTGTTCATTATGAAACCCAACTTTGAGATATTATAGCATCTTAGAGATTTGTACAATAGTGTGCTTTTCTCAGCTGGTAGATCTATTAATTCAGTTTAACCATTAAAATCTAATTATTTTGTCATCATCAAGTTGATAGGGGACACTAACATTAAGGACCCCTCAGTGTAACAACATAGTTTGTTCATAAAAGTCATATTGAACTTCAGCTTCAAATCTTCACTCAGCTGTACTTCCCCTAACCATGTCCTTGCATTTCTCTATTAGTTAATCAAAACTCTTGTCTTCTCATAACTGAATACTCCTGCATTTGAGAATGAGAATGCCTTCTCATTTTTATAGACATGATTTCTTGTTAGTTTGTACTACAGTTTCTTTTGTGCTATTATTTAGAGCAGTGCCTTTTAAATTGGTTGAGTTAGTGAAGTTAACTGAAAATTTTGCATTAGTACAGTGGTTTTTAAAATTTGAGAAGGGGATAAGTATATGCTCTTTTGACAGTATGTTGGAAGCTATGGATAATCTCTAAAACTCTCCACTTACCACTGGAAATTCTATGTGAATTGTTGCTGCTTTGGGCTATTAAATAAATTCATGCATTATTATCCCGTCTTTAAATCATAGAAAGTTATTGCTCATGTTCTTCCTAGTATTGTGAATTTAATATTTGTTAAAATTTGTACAAACTATTGTCCTCACTGTTTATGTATACAGCATTTGTTATTTTGAAATGGTCTTTTAAAAAGAATTTGAAACAAGCCATTTTAAGCATTATACTTATATTTACAGTTGAAAATACAAATGAAAATAGCAGGCCACATGCAGTGGCTGACACCTGTAATCCCAACAATTTGGAAGGCCAAGGCGGGAGGATTGCTTGAACCTACAAGTTCAGGACCAGCCTAGGCAACATAGCAGAAACCCATCTCTACAAATAAAAAGATTAACCACTGTGGTGGCACATGCCCATAGTCTCAGCTATTCAGGAAGCTGAAGCAGGAGGATCACTTGAGCCCAGGAGTTTGAGGCTGCACTGAGTATGAATGCACCACTGTACCCCAGCCTGGAAATAGAGACCCTGTCTCAAAAATAATAAAACACAGCAGCAGCTTTCACAAGAACATTATTTCCAAAGAAATCTTCATAGTTTTAGTTTAACTTAGTAGAAATAATTCACTCAGAAACACTTTCTCACTGATCAAGCATACGAATGGTAATTGAAACATGATCAGGAGTAAGCAATTAGGAGTTTGTATGTCCAAGGAAATGAACTAGACAGCAAGTACTCTTTTGTTAGAATAACCTGTTTATAGATAGGGAAAGTGAGAATTAAAATGATTCTTCAAGTACAGTACATGAATTTCAATTAGGTAAAACTGATGTTGTCCTACCTGTCCCTTTAGTTCATTCATTTACTGATTCATTCATTGACATATACTGTCTTTCATAAGACTTGGGATATTGATTGTCCTGTTTTATATACTTCCACTAAAAGAGGTGGTAGAGGGCTGGCAGTTGTAGGTGTATAATTAAATCATCACAGTGTTAGAGATTTTAATAAAATGTAAGAATGTGTGCATCTTAGAATTGCTGAAATTTTGTCGTATTTATTATCTGCCACTCAGTAGGCATTTTTCTAGGCCCTGGATGTACATCCGTGAATAAAACAAACATCTCTGCCTAATTTTCATGTGTTCACTTGGGGGAGACAGACAGTTCACAAGACAACTAAATGAAATGTGTAGTGTGTTGGCGATATGTGTTTTTAAAAAATGAGTGGAGAAGGGAAATCAGAAGTATTGGGGTGCCAATATTAGATTTCTGTAAAGCATGGAAGAACAACCCATTTCTGAGGCAATAACCACAAAAATGATAGGCTACCCTTATGATGGATAACACTTTCTATTCCAGATTAGCTATTAGCACTTGAAAATATTAAAACAAATTAATATTTTAGCAGGTTTCTCCTATTTTACAGCAAAAGAACCCTCAACACAAAAAAGTTAAACAACTTACCCAGAGTCTCACTCAGAGACCATGCTTTTAACTTTTTTATGTGTTGTCTGTTAGAAAAGTTCAGTTCACATATCCTGTAAAAGAGTTGCGATATGAAGAGGTTCCCTCTTCTGAGTAGTAATTTTTGATAGGGAAAAAAATTATTTAGAATTACATGGTGAAAAAAATTTGGTTTAAGATTCTGCTTATCAGTTTGTTCTTTAAAACACATACCCTGGCCAGGTGTGGTGGTTCACACCTGTAATCCTAGCACTTTGGGAGACTGAGGTGGGAGGATCATTTGAACCCAAGAATTCAAGACCAGCCTAGGCAACATTTAAAACAAAAATAATCCGGGAGTGGTGGCGCACACCTGTGATTACAGGTACTCAGGAGGCTGAGGTGGGAGGATTGCCCGAGTCAAGGCTGCAGTGAGCCATGTGTGATTCCACAGAAGAGTGAGACCCTGTCTCAAAAAAACAGAGTGCCCTCTTCAAGAAATTGTGTTAGTGTGATTCCTGTTTGTCTTGCCAATTTATCACTTGTTTTCTAAAAGTATGTTTTGAAGAATATCATGCATACTGGTCAATAAATAGGAAGTGTTTGACCAGATATAATTTTCATATTAAAAACTTCCCAGTGGTTCTGATTAATTATCCTAACTCCTAAAGAAATTGAAACTATAAATTTCAAGGTTAACTGGAATTGAGGCTTGTAACTTCGTATTTTTGGCTCTGTTAGAGAAAGCATCTGTCTTATACTCCTCAGAATCCAAGAATGCACTTTTATACCAAAATAACCTGCTTATAAAATCCCAACTGCATAAAATTACCTTCATGGTTTTTTCTTCTGTATCTTTGTTGTTTTCCTACATTGATTTTCTTATTCATAATATAAATCACATTCTTTGATCCTTATATTTTTACACTAGCTTTTGATGTATTTTTCATCTCATCATGGTCCTGTGTTACTATGTTATATTTTATATTGAATGCTAGACTTTTCAATAATAGGTTTCTGGTATACAGGCCTCCAGCCCTAGGATTGTGTTTGTTATTCAGAGTACTACCTTAAACAAGGAATTCATTTTTATAAATGAATTTGTAAAAATTAAAGGCAGGTGCCAAGTGGTATTCTGTAAGAGGCATGGCTTCATGGACTTGAAAGGGCAAGAAAGCAAATGAGACACTAAGCTTTTTAAATGGTGGTTGCTATAATTAGGTCCAGAATTTTCTCCTGAGCTTTAAGTTTGAAAGCCCAAAACACACACAACCCAGAGTGTTTAACTGGTTGCTTGTCAGTCTCCCCCACCAAACTATGAGCTCTTTGAGGGCAAGTGGCAGGGAAAGGCATCCTGTCTGAGTCATTTCCCTTTGTATGCTTAGTGCACAGTGACATAGTAGGCATTTTGCTAAAGAATGCACAAGTTTGACTTTAGACCAGTGTCTCTTAAATTTGCAGGTAGGGAAGGGATTGCCTCTTTTGAAATTGAGAAAATCATGAGAATATTAGACTGTTTCCCAAGAAGAATAAACATAAATTTTTATGTACTTCCTTGGTCTGTACGTTTT